CAGGGTGGTGGTCTCTTTTAACCTGCCCGACCTTAAATACGGACAATCTCACTTCTTTGCCAAACAAAGATGGCTTTTACCTGGTCTTCCTAAAGGAAACATATGGTAAGAATTATGTAGTGTTTTGTAGGTCTAGTTAAGAGAATAACAGCTTCTTGGTCAGATTAAATAAAGAGTATATCAGTGACAAAGGCAGCTGTTGTCACAATTAGGTGTGAGAGATTCGTCCTTGTTCTGGTTAGAGAAGAATACAGCACAAGGAGAAGAGGATGATGCCAGAGTTTAGAGAATCTTTGCTATTTTGCCCGAAGAGTGTTACATGACTGGAGGAGGGCAACAGGAAGAAGCTCAAATGAGAAATTAAATGGTGCTGAGATGATAGATAGTGTTTAAACATAGCTGAAAACAGTGTAAAGATCTTAATATTTTTGGAATCCCTGTATTTAGATTAGTCAGATTAACAACTAAAAAGGATGATGAGTCCAGGATCACCAGCAGGGTGATAAGCAGGAAAGCTTCGGGGTCAGAATCAGACCAGATAACACTGTTTTTCTGACACCAAAGCAAATTAAGAACAGTGACCTAGCCTGCTGCATGAATGACAAAAAAAAACACATTTTTTTCAATGCTGCAATGGGCTTCTGTTCAGGGCAGATATAGACATGGGCTATTCTAGAAAGGGGCCAATGGGGACTAGTGCCCCAATAGAACAGATCCTGGCCCCTGTTATGGCCGCTGTGTTGAAACACTGCAACATTTTTTTTCTTAAACTAAGTGTGTTTTCACTTGATTTAAGCAGGTAGTTCAGGCAATTTTCCAATATAAAAAGATTATTTACATTTGAAATAAAAGAAAAAAGTTTAATTACCCCATTTCAAGAGCATCACATTGAGTCATCGTCTAGAACCGTCACTGGATATAGAGACTTGTAAGGTTAACTTTTAAAGAGGAAGTTCTGAACCAGAGTCAACCAGAGAAAAAGCTGTATATGTTTGTTGAAGCAGATAGACGATTTAGGTAGCATCCTATGTCCATTTTCCACTGCATCTCCCCTGGAGTATGTCTAGTGTTTCCAGTTTGTAAAAGTTCTGGGACCTGGAAGATAAGTAATGCATTTAAGGGATCAACGATATGTAGGCTACTTTCTGACTGTTGAACCAAATACCAGACATTTAAGTTTATTTATAAAGGCACATGTGTAATAAAAGAGTTATTATTATTATTATTATTATATTTATGACATTTATTTTCTTTATCCAGCAGGAGTTCGTTCGACTCATTATATCTGACACGATGACTACATATATTACGTTGCTGATTGGAGACTTTCTGAGAGCTGTGCTTGTCCGTTTTCTTAACCACTGCTGGTGTTGGGACCTGGAAGCTGGATTTGTGAGTCATCTTTCCCACAAACTGTACTTTACAAAAAGGTTTTTGTCATGAGGTGAGATAAAAAAAGTCTTTAAGGTCCGTGTTCTTTGTGACTTCTATAAAAGCCTTCATACTCTGAGTTTGATGTCAGTGGAAATGTCCTGGGCCTCATCTTCAACCAAGGAATGATATGGTAAGATGAAGATTTCTGATTGGTTGTGCATGTGTTGAATGGGAGTGAAACTTTGAGAAATATCTGAATGACACCAAAAATGATGAGAAAGTGTTGTGTGTCTTCCTGCAGGATGGGAGCTTTCTATGCCCCTTGCCTACCTGCTCTAAACCTGCTGAGGCTCCATGTGTCCATGTACCTGCAGTGCTGGGCTGTGATGTGCTGCAACGTTCCACAGGAGAGGGTCTTCAAAGCCTCAGGCTCCAACAACTTCTACATGGCCATGTTGTTGGTCATCCTCTTCCTGTCGACTCTGCCAGCCATTTACACAATTGTAACCATCCCTCCTTCTTTTGACTGCGGACCCTTCAGGTATTGATGCAGGATTGAGGGGTCTGCAGTGTGTTGTGTGAAATTCCTTTCTGTTTCGAGCAGAGATGCCATCCTCTCTTTACAGTGGCAAGAACAGGATGTTTGATGTGATCCAGGAGACGTTGGAGTCTGACTTCCCAGCCTGGTTTAGTAAAGTGTTCAGCTATGCCTCTAACCCTGGACTGGTGCTACCCTTTATATTGCTCATGATGTGAGTCACCAGCATATTCCATGAATGTTCTGTTTTGTTCAAAATGATCAATACAGGGTTAAATATAGACAGACTGCAGTGAAAAGTTTTTTTTCTTTTTTTTTTAACTTAAATGTTCAGGACCATCTGATACTTCTATCAACATAAACAAAATCCAAACCATAACAACTGAATGTTGCAACAGCAATCATGAATTCACTTTGACTAACAAATTTTTTTTTGGAAAGCTGACACCAAATAACCCAGGCCTGATTGCTATTTCACAATTAGAATCAACTAACAATTAAATTGAAATAATTAAAGCTGTCCGACAACACAAAATGGGCTAAAACATCTCCAAAAGTGGCAAATATTAATACTAAAGTGAAAAAAAAAAAATTGCTGCCTATTTGTTTGGAAAGGATTTTGGTATTTTAACAAAATACTGCCAGAGCAAATATTCACAAATTAAGAAAACATGGACGGTGTTAAAACCTTGGAGTAGCCGGCCTATATAAACAGCTCCAAGAGCATATTGATGATGACTCATCGAGCAGGTCTTGGTGCTATTCTATTCTATTCTATTCTATTCTATTCTATTCTATTCTATTCTATTCTATTCTATTCTATTCAATTCTGTTGAACTTTGCCTGGACTGCACTGATGATTTCAGAAAGTGTATAGTGAAGATTCTCAGTCCTCCAGTTCATAGTCATTCTAAAAAAAAAAACAAATCCACTGGACTTTGTTTCCAAGTTTGAAGATGTTTCACTTCCCATCCAGGAAGCTTTTTCAATTAAAAATGTCAGAATAAACATTGAGTTCAAGGCTTTATAGAGTCGACCAAAACAAAGCCTTGTTTCAACCAGCCATCGCCATCCCCAACCCATACAGGTGACTATAACCTATCACCAGGCCAACAATTCCCCGTAACCCCCCTTTCAGACACATAGACCAGTATCAGGTATTACAGGCTAGCAAAGAACCCTAAACGACTATGCATTCTTAAGGCGCCGTTTGTCCGGTTCAATTTTTATGTTTTCTAAGCCAAAACAAGGCTTTGTTTTTGGTCCACTCTATAAAGCCTCAAACTCAACACTATTTCTGACAGTTTTATTTGGAAAAGCTTCGTAGATGGGAAGCTAAATGTCTTCAAACTTAGAAACAGTGTTCAGTGGATTGTTTTTTAACTTTTCTGATATGTTTTCTCCACCTCTTTCCTGCCTGAAAAAGACAAAAATCCCATATAATTTCGTTCACCTAATTTTTGTTTCTAAAATGTTTTGCTACTGTTTGTTGCTTAATCCACCCCCAAAAAGAATCATTCAATTAAACCACTTGATTTAATAGAATAATCAGACAAAACTACAAATAAATATAGTATAATATTTTTATACTTGTATAAAAGCTTTGATGATAATAATGATCTGTTTCTGTTATATTCTTTAGATTGGCCATTTATTACCTACAGTCTACGTCCAAAAGCTACAAAGAAGCAAACGTAGAACTGAAGAAAAAGCTACAGATGGTAACCCAGCAATTAAATAATGTTATTTTCCTTATTTTATAGCTTTGCTTTGTTCTGAATGTGTATAGATAATGCTTTGATAAGACATTATACTGAAATACGACATTTTGTTCACAAATAATGTCTACCTAGTTCTACCTACTTTTACAATATCAATGTTTAAATTGCTTAAATATTTAATGGCTTTTTTCACTAGCACTGTAGAGGAGACACAGATACACTTTGAGCACATTTTGCTGTAGTAATCTTAGTGAGTGCATAATAGCAATCACACCAGTAGAGGTCAGCAGAGTGAGGTTTCAGACTCAATGAATCCTCTAATTATAGCTTTACATGTTTTACCTATATACTGAAAAAACAGCAGAATGAGCAGCTTAAACATTTATGATCTGTATTAATTAAACACCTTTTCTAAAGCAAAATGAAGAAAACAAGAAAAAGAACAAACAAGCTGCACTGAAGGCTCAAATGGATCTGGAGGAGGCCAAAAAATCAGCATCTGAGGCTATGGAGCCGCAAAGGAACAACAATGCTTCAGTTCAAAGACAAGAGGGTGAGAAAACCAAAGCAGACTGAGCAACTGGACCGAAATGAAAGAAATGCTGGACTATATAAATAATAAAAATGGTGTCTTTTAATTAATATAATACAGAAAATCATTACAGAGGTCACTTTTAAAGAATATAGCATTATGTATTAGTAACTCATTATAGGGTTAATATCTTAAATATGGGGGAGTGTTGGTCTAGTGGGTTAGAGCAGTGAGCTTGTGCTCTGAAAAGGTTGCAAGTACCAATCCCTACAGCCTCCACCCTGGGTTCCTGAGCAACACCCTTAATGACTGTTTGCTCCCTGGGCGCCCCATAATGGCAGCCCACTGCTCCTCAAGGTGATGGGTCAAAATGCAGGGAACAAATTCCAATTAAGGGATTTACGTTCTAATGCTGTGGAGTTATGTGAAGTTAGACTCAGCAGTTTGTAACATAACTGGAGTCTTAACAGTCTTTGAATAAACACAGAGTATTAATTGTTACAAAGGGATTTTGCAAAAATATGCAACACAATAAATGATCAAAAACCTCTGCATGTAATTATTGGTTGAAAAGGGAACACTACACATAGGGCCTATTTAAACTGCAGAATAATGGCATGCACTGTGAGTGATGACACTGTTTTCAATGCTCTGATTCGTATAAACACCATGAAAATTTAAAAGCCATTTAAATTAAATAAACTGGAGGCTAAATTATTTGCAGAGGTTTAAAAATAAACCTTTTCTTTCACCCATAGCAAACGATGAAGAAAACCACAACAGAAGTCGGAAGATGCATCATGGATGCAACCCTTCTGCTCGTGCTGACGACAGAGAACCACACCTCCCAGTTAGAGGACCTGGTCCCAGGACTTATCATAATGGCAACCATGGAAACCCAAGATATCTCCCTGGTTACCATCAGCAAAATGAGCCCAGTAGGATGTACAGGGTACCCAGTATGCAGAGACACTAAGAAAACAAAGATACAACCTGTCGCCATGAAAGCACTTTTAAAGCAGTTGGTGTTACAATCTGTCTTAGAATTAGTTTACATTTTAAACTGCAAACACTAAAGAATACTAAGTTTTTTAAATCACCATGACTTGACCTAAATGGATTTTTTTAAATTAAAGGGTTTATTTTAAATAATATTACATTGTGTATCTAAATCCACAGCCAACTTAACATCAATTTAAGAAACTGTAAAATTATAAATTTATCCATCTAAATTTCAGAAATTTCAGTTTTTTGCTTTTTTTTGCAGCTTTTCCAGCTTTAATTTATTCTCTACTTGGATTTTTACACAAAGTTTTCTTAAGATGTTAAACATTCATGATAAATTCCAGCTGTGTATTTATTAGTCGGTTTCAAACAAATAAAATAGCCTATTTATTTATCACTGTTTTGCTTTGCTTAAATTCTCTCATTAAATCATCTCTTTATACATTTTGCCTGTTTGGGCTCTTAGACTGAGGGGAGCTGTTACAGGTCATTAGACATGGAGGCCAGTTAACTCCGCCAGGAATGCTTAAATAGATCCCTCACTCATCTGGGCTGAATAACAGATTAAACCTCCTTTTCTGAAAAATATTGCTTGGCACACTTTGTGGACTCTTTCTTGTTACAGTTCAGGGAAATCCTTAAATAGTATCGTGAAGTGTGTAGTTATTAAAATGTGTATTTACAAAGATCTAACAGTTATCCTGTCAGTCAACCTATTATCTAGATCTAAAGGGACAATGTGCCGTTAACTCAGCTTTACTTGCATACATTAAAGTACATAAACTGAGCTTGTGCATTGTTTTCTGAAAACTAAGAGTCAGGTTGTGGCCGGTTTTCTACTGAGGTAAAGGTTTTGGCTCTCAATCAGGTAAGACAATCATTAAACATACAATTCTTCTACACAGTTGCTTTGGATAAATCCATTGCAAGTAAGCATCAATAATTAATACTGTTTTTATTAGAGATCCACTGACTGACAGACTGAACAGGAAAGAGGAGCCACACACTGTCAGTCACATCCCCTAATAAGGTTAGAGGAGACATTTTAGTATTAATTAGCATTGTCTGTGTGCTGCAGACTCAGTCTAAATGTTACAGAAGAAGAAGAAGAGGAACATCAACCCTCAGATGTAACCTGTATTGCCCTCCTCCTTAGGTTTTGGTTCATTGCCAGTCTTTGTTCAGGCTGTGGCAAGAAACCAAACCGTAATGGATTGCAGCTTATTGGATGCCTGGGTTTCCTTTAATCATCTCTAGTTTACCACAGTAAATTAGAGAGTGGAGGTTGTACAAGCACTGATTTTACAGATTAAATTATAGCCAGCTTTAAGTTTGAGGGCTTAGACTGGTTCTGGTTGCTTCTTCCCATCTTACAGGTCAAACCTTTCAATCCTTTAGTCGTATCTGGTAGCTGTATAGCAGCTAGCTGCTGCTTTTTTTCTTCTCCATTTCAAAATACTGTTTAAATACAAAATTTCCTGGTCCAGGTTGCATTTTCTACAATGTGAGCTGTGATGTACAATAGATAGGCACATATATCACCCACTCCTAATGTTATCATTGTGTTTAAGGTGTCCTTCTTCCGGGTGGATCATCAAAAAATAAGTGGTTCCCCTAATTGTCAATCATTCTGCTGATATGCAAGGCCATCCTATGTGCTTGTTCATTTTCACTTACCAGTGGTGAGTCTGACATAGTGGAAAATTGATTATCTTCTTTTGGAAAGTAAGCTTGTATGAGCGATTTAAACAACTTTTAAACAGAGTGTGCATGAGGAGAAATGGGCTCCTGCATGCCCTCACATGCGTTTAATAGGCTTTCCCTCTCGGAAGTGTGTATAGAGTTGTGCATGTGCAATTTTTTATTTTTAAGTGGACAGGGTGGGTCTTTTCAAAAAATTTGCAAAAAACTCCACTATACATTTAAGATCTTTTTCAGTCCACACTCCTTGCCACCTCTAAGCGGTACCAATGCATTCTTTATAATAGATGATGCAGGCATTGTAATGTTTATAGATGGTCTTCATTCAAGCTGACTGAGATTGACCACAATCAGGTTAAAGGGATAATGGTTGAGATTTTCATTCTCAGGACCTGCAAAGCTGCTAGTCATTACCAACTGCTTTGCATTGGTCCATCACTTAAAATCCCAGTAAAACAGATTAAAGTTTGTTGTAACAAGACAAAATTTAGAAAAGGTAGGGCTTGAAAGCATCAATACATATACAAGTGTCTGTGTCACCACAGAGATACATTGATTGGCACTGATTTAAAGGGGCCTTCTCACCATTTGAAAAAAACACCATGTGGTCATGTTAAAATAAATCAACTTACACTGTTTACTTTGTCTTAGATGTAAACATTGATATATGCCGTCGCCACCTGCTGGCAATACTTATTAACACATCCATTAACTTAGCAACTTTCAAGGCTTTAGTTCCCACTTCAATAAATACCACGATTGTACTCTGAGTGCTAGCTGTATCGTATCCCTCTTTCATACATTTTTTTTTGCAGTTTTTCACACTTTATTATAAACTTTTCCTCTTTTTTATACACCAACACAGGGGAAATGCTAATTTGCTTGCCTCTATTAGCTACTTGTTAACTCTTGCATGCCCAGTATATCACCTTCAGTCTCGTGGATCTTTTTGAGGTATATACCAAAGTTTACTAAAAAACATAGCAAAAGAAAAGTGTAAATCAAACAAATAGAATATAGTTACCTAACAGTGTGTCATAATCTAATTGGAAAGCCTTTGTAATCTTTTTATTCATTCTTTATTTATATATTTGTTTTAAACTCCCATGAAATAAAGAAAAAGGCTGGTGAAAAACCTTGCATTCATAAAAACCAAACAGATAAATGAACCAAATCCTTACTGTATACCTCCTTGGAAGCTGAAAAAGGGATGGAAAAAGCACTGCTTATCCAAGTTCCAGCCCCTCATAACTACAATACAGAATTTGAACACAAGAAAGACGAATACAAAGACAGACCCAAACAGAAGATTTCCAACCCAACACACCTCTTTCTCATATCGAAAGTATTTACATGCTACTAGAGTGAGCTACTGGTGTAGAAATCTGTTAAGTCATAGTATGTGATTAGGCTCCTTTAAAGTAGATTTGACAAACCAAGAACAGCAGCTCTGTAATGAAGTCACTGTCTCACACGAGTAAAACTCCACCTGTCTGTTCAGCTGACACCTTCCAGGTGAACACTCTGTACAGTATTTACTTGTATAGCAGGTTGTTTTCCTCCTCTATCAGGATTACGTCAAATTCCATCCAACTTTAATGTGTACTAGACTTTTTTTCTCCAAGGTGTCATCTTTCTGGGTGTTAGTTAAATGACAATGAGCGTGAGTGCCAAGTGCTAAAGCAGGTTCAATATGAGGAAGTTGTATATGACCAGAATAAGGGATAATAGAGAAAAAGTCTTCATACACTGAAGTTTGGGCAAATATCTGGCTGGGTAATAACAGGCATAATGAATTATTAAATGTATATTGTCCCTTGTGTCTGTGGAGTAGTATCCACTAACATTTTGATTGACAGGTCCATTGTCTGAAAGACTCTCCTTCCTCATCCGTCTTCCTTTCATCGTCCAATAGGCTTAGAGCCTCCAGTGGTCACCAAGGAGCCCAGAACCGAAATGGCTCTAACAGTAGCACACCTGTTCCCGTTAGCGTGTGCAGTTTAACACCCTGTAATCTGACAGTGAATCAGCTGTACACTTTGGCTCATAAATGGAGAGAAGTCAACTTTGGATCTAAGGATTAACAGGAGGAGAAAAAGAAAGGAACGACTGGAAACAGCCTGGGAAAAATGCCTCCAAAAAGGAGAAACCATGAAATAGTTGATGTTGAAAATGGTGAGGGTTGTCTGCCAATAGAGTCAAAAAAGTTACATATTTTTTTACTTTAAAAACTCCTTAAATTTAACCCCACAAGTGAATTGTATTTTAATCAATCTTGGTCTGTTTTGGATTACTTTTATAGTTGGGATTGATGTGGATGCTGAGCCTGAGAGTGACAGTGAAGGTGAGTAATTCAAGATAATTTATGACGAAGAGGGACATATCTGGTATTATTCTTCTTTTCTACTTCAATGCAAGGAAAACATGTAGTTAGTAACAAATGATAAGCTATTATGTCCTCATTTCGATTTATTTTTTATTTTTTTATTTTGTTTGCTTTTATTTGTTCGAATTTTTCTAACTAACTAGAAAACGTTAGGTCATTAATGCTTTATTTGGTTACATTGTGCAGATACAAACTATAATGCAATCATGGATTGCTTTTAAATGAATCAGTTCTAAATTATAAAATGACTCAGTGTAAGGTTATGCAACAATAAGATGAAGATTAGGAGTAAGATTTTTCTACAACTCTTTTTTTCAAAATGAGCTTTTAGATAAATGATTGCAAACTGCTATGATATTGTCTCCTTGACTAATCTGAATATTTATTTCTCACAGAAGAGGCAAGGAAAAGAAGTCGAAACAGGAGATCTAAGTCGCAACTTAGAGCAAAGAAAATCAGTGAAGACGAGGATGACGAGGAGGATGAGGAGGAGGAGACACCTAAACGACGAGGACGAAGGAAAGTGACCAAGACAGATGATGATGAGGATGAGACCCCTCAAAGACGAGGACGAAGGAAGAAGACCAAGATCCAAGACAGTGATGAAGAGGACGAGGGAGACAAACGAAGGGCAGCAAGGAAGGGATCAAAAGCCACCAAGAAGAAAGCTTCTAAGGAAGAGAGCGATGAGGAAAGTGAGGAAGATAGAGTCAGCAGAAAAAAAGCTGGGAGATCTGTGTCCAAAAAGGAGAAAGAGGAGCAGAATAATGGCAAGAAGGCAAATGTGAAAGGGAAAGATGAGGAGGATAAGAACAATAAGAAGAAAAAGAAGAAAAAGATGAGCAGGTGCAGCTGCCACAGACATAACTGCCTCTAATGTGCATGACTTATGCATCCAGATATTCTGCTTTCTACATGCAGCCTCTGCCAGTCGACTGCAAGACTGGTCACAAAGCGAAAAGAAGCTGTTTGAAAAAAGAGATAATAGTTTTTGTATAACATCTAAATGAGTCTGACATCTAATATTAAATCAGTCCATATATCAATCAGAGGTTTTCAATCACAGGGCAATAAAAAAAAGCAGCAAAACAAATTAGAAGCTTTCCTGCAAAAGCAAATTATTAATTTTTATAAAAGATTTATAAAAGAAAATAGAAGTTTAAAGATAAACATATACGCTATGTCCCACTCTGTTCAAAACTAGACAGAAGGTCAAGTAAGGAAATTAATCTAATCCAAACAATAAATTAAGACAATTACAAACATCCCCTTAAATCTTTTTCCAAAAATGGTTTAGAAGAGATCAAGGGCTTTTAACTTCTGGTTGATAATAATTATTAATTACCATTGGAGGTTTCTCTTTGCCAGCATGAAAAAAAAAACAACAAAAAAAAAACTGTTGACACTCATTGGACTGTTCAATGATTAAGAAAGTTTATAAATTTCCCTTGACTCTCATTTAAACTGCCTATAAATATGATCAATTAAAGCAACTATGAAACATTTGTGATGATGTTTCACTATATAATCCAGAGCAAACATGGATATTTTCACTGCCATTCAAAGAAGAGATGAATGTTTTGAAAATGATCAGGAACAGCTCGGGAACCACCAAGGGCTCAGCCATCCATGAATGAGAAACTGCAGTTGTACCCGCTCAACTTTGTTTTATATTACCATTAACTGCAATACTGTGAGAAAGAAACTCCTGACTTGATACCTTATGCTCAACAGAGGTTTGGGTCAGGCAGATAAACAAGCCAGGTGTTATGTGGAAAACAGGTGTAATGACTGGATTTTAAAAATTGACCCATCATCAGCAAAACTGCGTTTCAGGGTAAGGTTTTCAAACTGAGTTGAGGGAATCCAAAAATCCAAAATGAGCTGGTATGCTGTCGCAGAGTTAATTGTACTGGAATTAAGAGGAAAAAACAAATTCTTTAAAAAGCAGCCAAACCTCATAATCTCCTTTGCATAAAACAATAACTCATATGATAAAGTCAGGAACCTTTCCTGGAAACTGCCAAAGCAAGACCTGTCTATCAGATTGCTGGACAAAGAGGATAACCTGCTATTTGGCTCATGTCTCACTCTCAGTTTTAATTGGTTTTTCCATTTTGCATCAGAATATTTAGTAGCAAGGATTTTATGATCAGTTTTATTACACAGGTGATATCTTACTGCAGTACCATGTTGGAAAATACTCAGGTCTGCAACTCATTTTTGTATAAATGTTTGTAGAGGCAATCCGCACGCCTTGGTCCTCAGAACATTTGGAAATAAACTGTAGTAAATATTATTTGTGTAATCTTTAGCCTGTGTGGACAAAAGCACACCTGGATTAAATCTAGACTAATTTATAGAATAATAACACTTTTATGTTGTTGTTATTCTAATGTGGAAAAAAATCTGCATATAGAAGGATTAAAAAACCTAATATTAGTAAAGCACTGAACTTATTGTGAGTAAAATTAAAAGTTTCCACCACTTTGTTAAGTGAGCTGAAGACTTTTGGACCAAATACAAAATATTTAAAGTTTAAAAACATAGCTGGAGATGAAGCTTGGTTTAGATAATTTAAAAAATCCACTTTTCTCAAATTCTACTGCAACAGACTTAATTCTTGTCAAACTATTACTCGTTTACCTTCCTAAAACATTTTTAGGTTAAGCTTTTTAAGTCTGATATGATTTTCTGATTAATAGTTTTGAACGCTACTATGATCATGATGACGACAGACATTTATGCTCTTTTCAGCAGCTCTTCCTCCTCTTCTTCATCCTCCGACTCTGATGAGGAATCATTGTCAGAGGGAGAAATTGAAGCTCTGAAGGAACAGGTGGAGGAGAAGAAGAAGCTGATTGCTACTTTAAGAAACAAACCATGGCGCATGCAGAAGAGGCTCTCACTGCTCAAGTAAAAAGAAAAACTCAACCCGTTCAGCGAAGTTACATTTTTGTTTTCTTAGTCATGGTCGCATGGGGTTGTACGGGAGAGGTTGGCAATCGATGCATACAAGTTTGCATGAAAGAGACATGATAGATGAGAAGCCACATTTTTTCATGATCTGGTGTCATACATGTAGTTAAAATTCATGCATTTCAAAAAAATGTCAGTCAGTAAGCCAACCCAGACCTGTCTGCCTGATTTGACCATTTCAATTTACCAGTGAAATGTTTTCTATAAGCTTTATGGTAGAAATTAATTTATGCTTTTGCTGATTTTTTCTTTCTCTTATTGGACCAACAGGGAGGCCCAGGAATTTGTTGAAAAGTTTGAAGGAGCTCTTGGGAAAGGGAAAGGCAGGAGACTATATGCTTTCAAAGTCATGATGACTAAAGTAATAAACCTGTGAAACTTACCGGTAGCTTATTTTAACCATAACTGATTTATATGGTAGAGATATAATTAAAATGTTAAAAACCTCTTTCTTCAAGAAACTCATCAAATTTAATCGTGATTTTGAGAACTTCAAAACGGCCTGTATACCCTGGGAGAGGAAGATAAAGGAAGTAGAAAGTTAGTACCTGAGATCCATTTTCTGTTAAAGTCTACTACTAAGACTGCTTTCTTTCTAAGTCACATTTCTTGTCTTTATAACCCCAGGTCATTTTGGATCATCCGTAGCATCATATTTCCTTTTTTTGAGGTGGATGTATGGTGTAAACCTGGTCCTTTTTGGGTTCATGTTTGGCCTGGTGGTGCTCCCTGAGGTAAGACTCTCCTGACACTCACTGTTAACAGAAATCTTCACAAAAACTCTCAGCTTTCTCTCTTCAAGCTGTCCTTTTTCTCCTTTGTGTTTAGGTTCTTATGGGTCTTCCTTATGGCTCCATTCCCAGGAAAACTGTCCCCAGAGAGGAACAGGATACAGCGATGGACTTCTCTGTCCTTCTCGACTTTGGGGTGAGGATTTATTTTACATACAGAATTTCTGGTGTGTTGGTGTTATCTTAGAAACAGACATGTCTGTTTAATAATTGTTAAGTCAGTTTAAACTTGGATCCAGTTGATTAATCGTAATTTAAGCAGAGCTAGATAGATGACAGAGAGCTGTAATAGACACCACTCTGTTGAATCATCATCTCCATGTAGAAGTATTTGGGTATTTGGTCCCACGGGAGTAATCAGACTAAATAATGATTCAAAGATCTTGCTATTGGTGGTTGAGCATGATGTTTGTATTCTTGTGCAATAGAATAGTAAAATGCAACTTGTTAGCTGAAAAATGTATGTCGTTAACAGGGTTACTGCCAATACTCTATTCTGTTCTATGGATTCTACAACAATGATCGAACAATCGGGCTGCTGAAGTTCAGACTCCCTCTGTCTTACCTCCTTACGAGTGTCGGTATATTCGGATACAGCTTGTTGGTTGTCATCAGAACGTATGAGAAACATCGACATGCAGGACGGTTGCCCTCGGAGTTTGGATAAATGTGGCTGATGGCCGTTATCTTCGCAGGATGGCTCGCAACGCCAACGAAGGAGGAGACGGGGGAGAAGAGGGGGACTTCATCTTTAGCTGGAAGATGTTTACCAGCTGGGACTATCTGATAGGAAACCCAGAGACTGCAGACAACAAGTATGCATCCATAACCACCAGCTTCAAGGTTAGCAGGTGTGTGTGTTCGTGGTTATGCTAATGTTTCTAAAAAGATCTAATGGCATTTTTAAAATCAAGTTTTGGAGTATGTAAGAAATAACCTAATGGGTCCTAAGTGTTGGAGTTATGTTTAAGATAAGAGACATACAGTGGTAATGTATGTTTGACAGCTGTCATCCGTTCTCTAGGAATCGATTGTAGATGAACAGGAGAACCAAAAAGATGAGAATATCCACCTTCGGCGTTTCCTCAGGGTTTTTGCAAATTTTCTGATCCTGTGCAGCCTCGGTGGCAGCGGATATCTCATCTACTTTGTGGTGAAACGTTCTCAAGACTTTGCTAAGGTGGACCCCAAAACCCTTACGTGGTTTGAAAAAAATGAGGCAAGTCTATACAACCTGAAGATGAACATGAAAGACACAATTGAGATCACTAACTAACCCCCGATCTCTGGTGTTTCAGGTGGAGTTTGTGATGTCACTGCTGGGGCTTGTTTGTCCTCCTCTCTTTGAAACCATCGCAGAGTTGGAAGACTATCATCCTCGTATTGCCCTTAAATGGCAACTGGGACGCATCTTTGCCCTTTTCCTTGGAAATCTTTACACGTTTCTCTTTGCACTCTTTGATGAGGTTACAGCCAAGGTATGCTGTTGTACACAAACCTGCAAAACTGATAAAATGGTTTCAAACGGATCTGAAGTCATTTTCCCCAAACTCTGGAACCTTCAGGCGGATTTTTATAAAACTTGCTCAGAGAAGTCAGACTGGGTTAAATAAGGCTAAATTAATAAATTAAGCTGGTTTTCTAAAACAGCCCTCAGGTTCTAAAACCATTTTACAGGTATTCTGACAAATTTTCCTTATTGAATATTTAGTCAAGCCTCACTTTAATTTGGTGTCACTTTAGAACTGAAAGTTTAAAAAAAGCATGGAACTCTTTTCCCGCCACATTTTGTCTCGTTTCATCCAAAATATTTATTATTTCTGTGGAAACACAAAATGTATTATTTCAAATCCAAGTGGTGCATCTTGTCCTGCATGTTCAATATTTATTTCCTTGCTATTAAATGCACAAAAAATATGTCCTTTCAACAGATTCTTCCCAGCTGACCTATGCATCTTTACAGTTACTCAAGATGAGCTATTCCGCTATTTGACATTTTCTCCACTTGAAGCTCTCCTTGTTCAATCTGTCAGTTTTTAATATTGGTTTATGCCCTGACCAATCTTTGAAACTTTTTAAAAACCTTTTTCAGTCTATTAGCTCTTTTCTTTGGTCTCTATTACTCTATTTGTTCTCTGGTGTTCGCTAAATGGTTGTAAAGCAGTCACAGAAGAGTTTAATTTATACTGAGATTAAATTAAACACGGGTCTCTATTACACTGCTTTCTACACCTCTACTTTTTTTTTTACAGCACTTTGAATAGTCTTGTCACTATATAAATTAATTTGCCTTAAATTATACCAAAATGAAAACACATAACCTGAAATTGTTTAAATGAAATTATCTATACGGTGGTGCTCCCTGTTAGGTACAGTAGAATCCATATATTTTAATTTAAATTAATAATTTGCTGTAATGCAAAAATAACTGAAAAAGGAAACAAGAGGAAAAAATAAATGCAAAATAGTTACTTTCTGACTTTCTATCATGTCTAATTTTAGTTAATATTTTTTTTTTCAATAAATGGAAAACCATTGAAAAGAGCTGTGGTTGTATCAGCATTATAGTTTGCTATCACACCAATGTGTTTTCTACCAAGATTCTTTAGCAATTTAACCCAAAACACAAAATGTGTTTAAATTACATTAACTAAGCTGCATAAATCATGTTCCTGTTGATTATATTTCTAGCTGGAAACTGAAAAATCAATCAAGAATGCCACTGAATGGGCTTATCAGCAATACTTCGCCAACTACAGCTTGTTCTACAACACCACAGATGTGCCACCTCCAAATGTGGCCCCTGCAGATGTCATCAGGGGTCCCTGCTGGGAGACTGGAGTTGGACGAGTCAGCACTGATGTTATATATTGTTCAGTATTGATTTAAAAGCACAAAAAGATGCCCTGCTTTCTCTAAAGAATAACCAACTCTTTATTTGATTTTTTGAACATATTTGTTAATCTTTTCCCTCTGCAGGAATTTGTGAAGCTTACTGTTTCAGATGTGCAGGTTACCTATTTGACTATCCTTGTTGGTGACTTTGCACGTGCCGTCATTGTCCGCTTCCTCAACTATTGCTGGTGCTGGGACCTGGAAGCTGGATTTGTGAGTACTAATCAAATATGTATAGCAAAGTTCAGCACCATTTAAAAATACAATTGTTTGGTTATCCAAAGGAGAAGTTATTTCATTGTATGTATGTTTTCTGGTGTCCTTAATTCCTATATACTCATCTCTACATGCATCCTTTTACTGCCGTACTACTTAGTATAACCTTTCATGATTAATTCATTGTTCGTGTTAACACAGAAAAAAGTTTGCATCAGCTTGAAGTAAACCTGATATAGTACAAGTGACATCTTGCAAGACAGGCGATCCTAAGCTTTAAGGGTAACAGGAGATTGAAATGAGATCTTAATTACAGAGAGGGAGATAGATAAAGGGAGACAGAGACAGATTGACAAAGGGAGCAGGAAATACAAAGTGTATTGACCTGCTGTTTTTAATTCAGGTCAAGAAGTAATCTTGCTGTTATGTTTTTTTGTAGCCTTCATATGGAGAATTTGACATCAGTGGAAATGTCCTAGGTCTTGTCTTCAATCAAGGAATGATATGGTAAATTCATTTTATTAGTATATTAGGATAAGGATTATTAGATTGAAGAGGATTATTAAACTGAATTTAAAAAAATGTATACCATGAATGCCAATAGACTGCTTTTAAAATCACATTTCTACATTTGTGGTCATGCTTAGGATGGGAGCATTTTATGCTCCTGGTCTAGTGGGCATCAATGTCCTGCGGCTCTTGACCTCCATGTATTATCAGTCCTGGGCAGTGATGGCCTGCAATGTTCCTCATGAGCGAGTGTTTAAAGCCTCACGCTCCAATAACTTCTACATGGGCTTGCTGCTGCTGGTGCTGTTTCTTAGCCTGCTTCCTGTTGTATACTCAATGATGACATTGGCCCCATCCTTCGACTGCGGACCATTCAGGTAAGTAGGTGTGTATGATTGGGAATAATAAATAAAAAGTCCTAGTTGTGATTACAGCTTTAAAGGTTCCCTAAAGTCTGTTAGAGAATAATCTTGGCTATATATACTCAAGTTAGTTTATTAGGTATCTCTGTTCAGTTTCTTGGTTATTTAAACAGTGAATCACAGGTTGCATGGTAGGGACGTAATGCATGTTGTGCTGTAATCATGGTAAAAACAGCTGGCTGAGATTTGAAATCGGCTTAAATAAGAAAGACTGGTTTGAGATGGATAGAAAGGCAAAATTAACCTTAGTCTTGTGGCTATTATCCTTTGCATTTATCCAAACAAACAGCCACCCTAGCACAATCAGGATTTTATGCAGGTTAAAAATAAATAATCAATGTCCATATTGGAGGATGTGTTTTAGTAAATTTACTTACCATTGTTGGCAAACTTACAGACAGTCGTGATCCCCTGCAGCCCCTCCTAATACTGGAAAAATGCCTATACCCTGGTCTTTCTGGCTCACCCATGTCACCTGACCTTCTTATGCACGCCTCTCAAATCCCAAAAGTTATAGTAATAAACATAAGCAAAACTGAAAAATAACTTGAACGCAAAGTAATAACCTTTTAGAAATCACCAAACATAAAATACTGTCTCTTGATACTCCAATCATTGACCCTTAAAGACTAACGAACTAAAACAGCGGAGCACCACTACAATCAGAAAATCCCACAGAAGGTCCTTGTAACTTGTGTTGTGCCGATGCACTTTTTGGCCCTGATACTGATATCGATACCTGGCTGTGCAATATTGGCTGATACCGATACCATACTGATACCATTTGTTTGAAATTGATGTGTGTGTGTATATATAAAGAACTGGATACTACTTGGATGTAAAAGAATTGCTATCATGGCTTTGTCAATCTGCTGCCTACCTTTGTGAAGCAGGAAAAAGACTAATACAAAGTGAATCCAGTAGAACTTTTTATTGCCTACCTGGAATGGGTGACAATAGTTGAATAAACTTTTGGCTCTCAAGATGGTATTGGTGCCCTATTTGCTGGTACTCGCCGATACTGATACCGACACCATTTTAGTGCTGGATCAGGACCCTGCCAGATACTGGTATCGGTATCGGTTCAACACTACTTGTAACACAATGAAGTTTGGATAACTCAGGCGTGACAATAGGAACTGAATTCGCTTCACTCAACATGAAAACCTTTTATCCTAGCTTGAATCAACAACTGAGGCAGTAGAGAATCATTTCTTGTTGGACTTTACGCCCCTTAGCCTCAAATAAACACCACAATCTTTCTATGTGACTATTGTTGCTGACTATGTCCATCTCTTTACAACCTCTATCCCCTGATGCCTATTTTCAGCAGGTTAGTTTTCATCCAGGCAAAGCTGAAATTATCCCAAACTGCTTTCTTAAATAAATGAACTCTCTGCACCATGGATGTGCAGCTAACAAATCAGCAATGAATCTGTGATGCAATCATACAAATATAGACCAAAGTGACCAAGTAACTTAAGCGATGTGTTTTTTTTTTCTGTTAAAATGTCAACCTCAAATTTGATTAATCCTTTCAGACAATAACAGTCTATGTTTGCTTAATCTCTGATTTAGCTGAACCACTAATCTAAAGAGATGCTAAACTATTGTGAAATATTTTAACATGTTCCTTCAGTGGTCAAGAGAAGATGTATGATGTGGTAATAGAGACTATTGAGCAGGATCTACCAGCTTTTATTGGGAACATCTTTACATATGCCAGCAACCCTGGGCTCATTATGCCTGCTATCCTCCTTATGATGTAAGTAAAACTTAAATATTAAACAAAAAATTAACAAATTAAATGTTGTTTTTGTGTCTGCCAAAAAAAGGTTTTATTTTTTCACATGTCAATTGACTGTGAATTATCCATTTTCTGTTTGTGTCTTTCAAGTCTGTCTTTAGACTCTTTAAGTTAATCTGAATTATCCACATCTGCAATAATTTTTAGTATAAGCTTTTTCTGCTTCACAGATTGGCCATCTACTATTTGAACACAGTGTCAAAAGCATACCAACAAACAAATATTGACCTGAGGAAGAAGATGAAAATGGTCAGTATTGGTGTGGTTTTTGTTCTCTTTTAATTTTTAAAAGTGTTTTGTTTTTTTGTCTGCTAAACTGGTTCGTATTTCAGGCTCGAGAAGATGAGAAGAATAGGAGGAACAACAAGGACAGCACTAATCAAGTAATGAAAGACTTGGAAGACCTGCTGCCAAATAAATCTCTAGCGCCGCCTCCAGCTGAGGAGGAGAAAGTTTCTGGTACGCAATGTTCAAATGTTTTTTTTAATACATTATTATAACATATATTTAGATTAACCCTTACCTTTTTTTTTCTCACTTGTCTTTTCAGAGGTTGTAGTTGACAAGCACAGCAAATCAACTAAGACAAAGCCTGGCACAGCAGGAAAAGGAGTGAATGTACAAAAGGAGGTATCGCTGGCTGCCCCCAACCCTAAGGGGCCAGTCACCCGGGCCCCTGGGCCAAGAGGAGGGCTTCCTGGAAACATGAGGTCGCCTCAACCAGGCCCTGGAAGAGGCAGAGGTCAGACTGCAGCTCCAAGAAGATGAAAACATGACAACAGATAAAATGGCCGACTCCATGGAAAGAGGAAAAACAATGTGTCATTTTTTTTCTTATTAAATGGACCCTTTTGTATGTTTGTCAAATTTTCACATATGAGCTTAATAAATGTAGCAAAAGACTACTATTTTCATTGTAAAAAAATATTTCTAACGGAAATATTTATTGAATATTTTGGGGGGATTATTCTAACAATTATATTTAGTCACACTACACTATATGCCATATTTATTTAAATATAATTGTTCATTTATTTATATTTTTTTTTTTATTAAAAACCCTATATTAAAATCTGCTCTCTAGCACATGAGGTGCTATATAAGATATAAACACTGGAAACCAGATCTTTCAAGTATATAACATGTTAAAAAAAAAGTATATTTAGCACAATTTAGAAACCAACCATGCATTACTTTAAAATAACAGATAATTTTAATCCATAAACTAAAATGATAGAAAAACACATACAAAATGAGGATGAACAAAGATAAAGCATAATTAATGAAGAAAATATTAAAACTGACAGTGAAATAAACCCTTGAAATACTTTATCCTTTTTAAATTTTGAAAAAGCCAAACCAGAAATTGCAAGGCGCTGTAGGTCAGCCACAAATATTACTCCAATAATAACATAAAAGTCAATGAGCGGTTACAATAGGCCCTCCTGCCAGTCTTTGAAAATGGATCATTACAAGTAGTGATGTCTGTGATATTTATATTTCTTTGTATTCGCCTTGATTTCTGATATTTAGTCAGAAATACAAAGATTTGGATAAATTGTTTTACTAAACTACAGAAGAGGATTAGGGCCCCTGAACAAAAAAAGAAAAAAAAAGTGAACTGATTTTTAAATATTATTTCAATTTAATATGGGGAAATAAGTCAGAATTCTGACTTTAAACTCAGAATTCTGACTTTTTTCTCAGAATTCTGACTTTAATCTCATAATTTTGGATTGTAATGTAGATGGGCACCATGAAGGAAGAGATGCAATCAGCTTCACTGACAAAAATGTGAGCTGTTTGAGAGGGCCAGTAACACATTGGTGAAAAATTACAGAATTAGGCAACTTTTTACAGAATATGAGATTAAATTCAGAATTATGAGAAAAGTCAGAATTATTAGATTTGAGTCAGAATAATGGGATTAAAGTCAGAATTATGAGAAAAAAAGTCAGAATTATGAGATTAAAGTCAGAATTATGAGATTAAAGTCAGAACTACGAGGAAAAAGTCAGAATTATGAGATTAAAGTCAGAATTCGGAGATTAATCTCCGAATTCTGATTTTTCAGTGGCCCTAATCCTCTTCTGTACTAAACGGCGTGGATTTAAAAGCTTAAAGAGCGCCCTCTGGTGACAAATCATGCGAACTTGTTTCAGTTTCACTATGAAATACGAGTTATCCGTTGGTTACTGTTTTAACATGGCTATTAAGATATATGACCTAAATACATAAAAATAGCCGCAGGAAAATGAAAATACTGAATAAATTTGGAGGAAGAATAAAGACAAAAAGCATGCGTTCTTTCCCGATCATGGTAACAAGCATTTTGATCCATGCGCCCTCATTAATGTTTTTGGTCCTGCAGCGCGTGCAGGCAGACTGAGCCCTTTAGGGAGGGTGCAGCTTCCTCTCCAAAGGAGGAGTTCTCCGTTTCCCCAGTGAGACCCTCCTCTACTGTACATTAAACCACAAACTTCTGCTGCTCTGCTCTGTGAAGGCTCTATCGCTTCAGCTGTTTACCTCTGAAATCTGCAAAGGAAAAGTGTGGTAAGTTTCCTTAAAGACATTCCGCATCCTGCACAGCCATTTCCCAGTTTGTTTGTCCTTTTGCGAAATCCCACAGAGAGGAGTTTCTATATGCTAAAAGACGGATTATAAGAATTGGAAAAACTGTAATTTTGGTATGGATTTCTAATCCGGATTTCTTTTTTTCGTTGCTTCCTGCCTCAGATTTCCTCTCTCTTTGTGAAAAGAAAAACAAAAAACAAAACACTAACAATTTTTAAACACTGCTCTGACTCTGGGCTCTTCTCTTAGCTGATAACATGGGGCTGATCCTGTCAGGATATCTGCCAAGGAGGGAGGACCCTGCTGCACCCCTGTCTATTGTCACCATCGCTCTGTGTGTTTTTACCCTGGTTCTGATGGCCATCAGGGTAAAACAGAACCACAGATGTTTCTTCCCCTACCGCCATGACTACCAGCTGGAGAAAACAAAGTTCCCTCCCCCTCCGGGCCCCAAGCCCTGGCCCATTGTGGGCAACCTGCTCCAGATGGGTGACCAGATGCATCTCACTCTCACTTCCCTGGGACTACAGTATGGTGATGTTTTCAAGGTCATGGGAGTTTTTTGGTCTGAATTACTGTTTAGGATGTAGTAATTGAAACATTTTCAAACTCTAATTATGTGCATCTATCTTGAGGGGTTATAAGCCACCCATTTCAGACATTATTTTTCCAGCGTGAATTCACAAAACAATATCAAAGACCTGGCTGTGCAGATCTAAATTCAGTTTGGATTGTTCTCCCTTCTATAAGATAGAAATACATCAAGTCTCAATATCATTTATGTCACTTTGTAAGAGAAATAAATGTTTTTTTTTTGCCGCTTCCAATAAGGTTCTGGTATAATTTTGGCTGGACAATTAATTAACTCCACAATCAATGGTGGAGTCTTGCCCAGAGCCAGAGGCGTAGCCAGAAATTTTTATAGGGGTGGCCAGGCAATAACCATTAAACACTGAGGGGTGGCTGCAAGTGGATTGGCACTAAAACCCCAGGGTGAGGCCAAAGATACAGCCTTTGCTAACAAATAGATGCATATATTTAAACATCTGTGCTTTCTTAGATAAAAGGTATAGTGGATAAAATTCTTTTGAGTTCTGGGGCATAAATCTTTTCCATTGTCATTACTTACCTACTTGTATCAATAATCATTCTGCATAAGATTGATATTTACAAGTACTAATACCTACATAATTTGATTATTCAATACTTTTTTATTAAAATAGTTATTTATATCTATGATTTCACTGAAGACTCCTAGATGACTTGTTGAGACATCTAATTTTTTCTTTACCCCATATAACAAAAATTCGACTTCTGAAAAGAGCATGAATTCTGTACTTATATTTATTGTTACTATATTGATGTGCATAATTAGCCACAGTGTTTTCATTAAGGAATACATGGAAAAAAATAGTATGTAATATATGAAAAATTAAAATCAATATTCCACTTGAGAGTATGACACCTGCCACCATCTGTATTAGAGGGTAAAAAATGGTAGGGGTGGTCACAGGGGTGGCCAGTGATTGGCTAAGTGTGGCCATGGCCACCCCTGGCCCCCCATCTAGCTCCGCCCCTGCCCACAGCAGACTTGTTCACAATTTTCTCATATATCTTCATCTACATGAATTGATTTCTCTACAACCCTGCATTTAAAAATTGTACATAAATTAATAATTTGGTCAAATTAGTTAAATATACATTTCACAAGTACACCTGTCCAAAAGTAAAAACCCCTTTCAATGATGCTCCCACCACCATGCTTAAAGGGACAGTACCTTATTCTGCACAGCTTTAAACCATAAGCAAGGGCAACTCTTTTGTTTGACCTGTAAGCCCCAACCCAGCCTTCATTCATGGAGAATTTTTTTGCCACACAATAAACCATGTAAAACCATTTTTCTTGGAGAGATTATAATAAAATCAAGTAAAGGGTCTTTAAAGTTAATAAAGTATTTGCAGAGCCTTACCATGTCCCTTTCAAGCAGACATTTATATATCAGTTAACTGCTTAGATCCACATTAGGGAGACTTGCACACTTTTAGATGGTTTAGTTGGTCCCCAGTTGGTTTTGAACACCCTGCTAAATTTTCTTTAACTTAGGGGGTAAACCTTGGGACCGGTGGCTTCCATTTTGAATATTTGGCATTTTGATAGAGCCCAACCAAACCCTGATCCTAAAATCATTGAACTTGGATTAAAATCTTTACCAGGAAATAAAACTAATTTCAGAAACTAAAGCAATCCTCTCAATGGCAGCGATCGGATATGGTTTAGAAAATGTTCAGAGGCTTATTGATGTCTCTGAAAATCAGTCGCTAAGGTGCATCTTACTAAGGTACTATTGATCACATATTAACAGAGGTTAATGTGTTATTTTTACCATGAATTGAATATGGAAAATATGCATTAAGTTGAAACTTGTATCCCCTTTTTTAATTTTAATTAAAATTATTTCTTTCACGGTGAATCCAAATTGGAAAATGAATGTTTGAAATTTTAACTTTATAAGTTGCAATTAATTGAACACTCTTAGTTATGATTCGTTTATATAAACCTCTGACAGGCACTTTGTTTGTCTTTGCTTCAGATGCGTTTTGGCTCCTTAACAGTGGTCATCCTTTGTGGATACAATACTATCAGACAGGCACTGGTTCGTCAGGGGGAAGATTTTGCTGGAAGACCTGAACTTTTCACTTTTTCCGCCGTAGCCGATGGGACCAGCATGACCTTCAGTGAAAAGTATGGGCCTGCATGGCTGCTCCATAAGAAGCTGTGCAAAAATGCCCTGAGATCCTTCTCCCAAGCTGAACCGAGGGGATCAGAGGCCACCTGCCTCCTGGAGGAGCAGGTGTGTGCTGAAGCTGCTGAGATGGTGGCGGTGATCCGGGAACAAGCTGCTAAGAGCCCTGAGCTGAGGGCTATAGATCCAGCAACGTCGTTAGTGACCTCTGTGGCAAACGTTGTGTGTGCCCTATGTTTTGGGAGGAGGTATGACCACAGTGACAAGGAGTTTCTCACCATCGTCAACATCAACAATGAGGTTCTTAAGCTCTTTGCAGCCGGCAACCTTGCAGACTTCTTCCCAGTGTTTCGTCATTTTCCCAGCCCTTCTCTAAGAAAAATGGTCCAGTACATTCAGAGAATGAACGGATTTATGGAGCGAAGAATCGAGGAACACATCAGAACCTTCGATAAGGTAAAGAAGCCTGGTCATTCTGAAGAAATCTGTGTCTTAAGGTCTCTTACTTTACAATATGTATAATTCTATCTTTACTTTATTTAATTTATTTGATTAATGATGCAAATACATGGTTACTTAATTTTGGCCATTGCATACTGTATGTGCAACTTTCAGTTTATTCATAATTATTTACAACTCACTGTTTTAATCTGAGATTGCACACATGCACACACGGCAACCGTAGCCAGAAAAATAACAAACAAGTCCCCTGGGATGAACTTTTGTTTTTGTGCAGAGTGGCTAAAATGTTCGCACGCACTCTAATTAGGAATTACCAACCTAGTGGAAGACACGCGTCCCTCTATAAGAGGGCCAAGGTTTTATGATATTAGATCTAATAATAATAACTGTCTTGAGAAAACAGGCCATGAAATTGTTGGACATTTTCTGTATGTTTGGTTGCAGAACTGCATCAGGGACATCACCGATGCTCTGATTGCACTTTGTGAAGACAGAGAAGAGAATAGGGAAACATCTCTGCTTACTGACTCTCAGATAATCCACACCGTCATAGACATTTTTGCAGCAGGTAAGAACAACTGCTATAAGTACCTTGATAACATTACTGCTTTGGTTTTCCTGCAGCTATGCAGTTTTTGCTTTCTTAAGGTTTTGACACCATCATTGCTGGGTTACAGTGGAGCTTGCTGTACCTTATCAAGTTCCCCGACATCCAGGACAGAATACACCTGGAGATAGGTATGAAAAATATCAAGATTTAAACTGTTGGACCATGTGTATAATAAAAATGTAAAGCTTAACTGAGAGTGAGCGCCGCCTATCAGAACAGAAAGAATGTACGCAAAGCTAGATAGCGTGAGCCTGTCTGGTCTCATGAATGAGTCAGGGTCTTATTGTCCAAAAATAGCAGGTTGCTCATTAATGAATCCAAGTAGTACATCACTAATGAGCCTGAGTTTGTGTCTGCTGGTTTATTATAGAGACAATATCAAACTACAATAGTTCATAATGTGGGTGACGTGGTGAAGCTGGATCAATGTCAAATCAGGCTTCAGAACAATCTAAAACATTTACAAATCCGATGAAAATGCTGCATTTGGGAGAAAAATTTGTTCTATAATATTCATGGAGATAACAAGCAGTATATAATTTTTTATATCTAAAGAAACAGGCATAAAAAGCCAAATGGCTCGAGAAGAACTCACCAAAGGTCAGCCTGTTTCTTTGCTGACATCGGAGGTGCTTTTGATACGGAGTGATTGAACTGGTGCTGAATGTTCTGAGGCACTTTGCATTTTTCACAGTGACAGGAAGGGAGGGGGATGCTAGGAGGTGACAGGATGAACGAGAACAGGACAAGGCTCGGAGAGTTCAAGAGAGACACAAAGGCAGTGACACGCAAGGCTCTGAAGCCTATAATTTACCATTGTCCTTAACTAAAACATCAGAGAGAATGAGGCTAAGAGGCTTTAGTTTGCTGGGTAGCTTTTTGACAAAGCCTTGATTTTCTTGAATGAGCATAAAATGGAGTATGATTGAAACACGATTTACCAAAGCCAAATAACATATTTTAAAGGTAGAACCAATGTAACACTTCTGAAATATGGGTTGTAGACATTGAAAACAATTAAGAAGCAGCAAAGTGACTTATCAGAAATCTGGAGGTGCTGCAGAGATCAGTTGGAGGGATAATCTGTTGACATAAAAACTCTGTGTCTATGTGTAAATCTTGCGATAATAGAGAAGCTCTGGTCAGATGGAACTAAACTTAAACTTTCTGGCCTGTTTGGCTGAAGAATAATACTGAACATCACCCAAGAAATAATGTTCACTGCTACTATAATGTTCACAAGGTTGACATTTGATGCATTATTCTTTGTGAATACTTTGTTTAATCGTAAACGTGGCAGCTGGTTAGAGTTATCGGGTAAATGAGGGATCTAAATCTGGGTCAGGTTCAACTTCCAGCACTATAACAACCCTAAACCTACAGTTACCTACATTTACAATGAGCTTGTGATTAGGGTTGGAACTAAATATTTTCTTTTTTTTTTGCTCATAATTAATCTGTTTAAAATTTTTTTGATTGACAGATTACTAATCAGACGACAAAATGTGCTTGATAGAGGATCATTTTTTTCTAGACAGTGAACTAAGTAAAGCTAAAACTATGCCTCTTATGAAAAGTGCATATGCACAGACAAAGTTTTTTTAAATTGTAAATGCTCAAACGTATATATATTTTTTAAAGTTTGGTCTTACTTTTTGCCTCTGACTTGGTTGTTCTGGGCCTGTTTCAGAATCTGTATACTGCATTTAACATATATTTGTTTACTAAATTATTTTACAATTATTTGAGTATTCAATCAATCACAATGAATCACGGATATTGTTTAAGGCTTACTGGTAGTGAAAGCTTATCCATGTGTTAGAATGACCAACTCTAAGTCCAATTAAGAATTTCTAATAAGATAGAGATACAGCTTTAAGAGTTTCCTTAATGTTCTTCAGCTATTTACCAAAGAAGAATGAAGAAAAAAAAGCCCAATGCTGGTAAATCTTTACACCGTTAGAATTGCAGCTGTAACTCTAAAAACCCATTATCAGAAGTAGGGCTGAAACAATGAATCAGATTAATTGTGATTAATAATAATAAACAGCTAGAAAGAGAATGTTCCTTTGGATCTGATGTCTCCTTTTCTTTTAAGATGAACACATTGGTTCAGCCAGACCTCCCCGGTTTTCAGATAAGCCCAGCATGGCCTTTACAGAAGCCTTCATATACGAGGTGTTTCGTCACTCTTCCTATGTTCCTTTCACCATTCCTCACTGGTAAGACTAGATCTTTCTGGCTTCAGAACATCAGCGGTTTCAGCACAAATAACGACCAAATTTTCCATATCTCTCTTTATCTCCAGCACCACCAGGGACACCATCCTGAATGGATATTTCATCCCAAAGGACACATGTGTCTTCATTAACCAGTATCAAGTCAATCATGATGTGTGAGTAGTCACAAGGGGAAAGGATTTATTGCTTTAAATAGGATTTACTACAAGATCAACTAGGATCAAGATCTCTGAGTGTTTATCTTCTTTTTCAGTACAGAATAAAATCTCTTTAAGTGATGCATTTAGGGTCCCTCCTACAGTAAAAGTAATCCTACCCCTTGAACCTTTTCATATCTTTTTTTTTTTTGCTTCAACTACAATTATTATAGCCTTTTTTTTTTTTTTTTTTACAAAGGAGCAACACAAACAAGCATGTGTTTAAGTCGAGGGAAAAGAAAAGAAATAAAAACTATAAAAGTTTAGAGTTTATTTGTATTCAGCGTGCCTTTTTAAACAACCTTTCACAGCTATTAAAGCTGTGAGTATTTCAGGGAACGTCTGTGGTAGCTTTGGATCTAGTCTTTGCTTATTCTTCACAAAATGGCTCCAACCCAGCCAGACTGAATAAAACATGTCTGTAAGCTAGTCTATTCTAAGATTTCAATATATTTAAATTCAAAGCAGGGGTCTTCAACGTTTTCCAGGCCGAGGATCCCCAAACTGATGGCGAGATAAATCGGGGACCCCTAATTATACACTGCCTGGCCAAAAAAAAAGTTGCCACCTGGATTCAACTAAGCAAATAGGTACGAGCCTCCTATTGGATAATTACTGAAAAAACAACAGTAGAACTCAGGGCTATGTTTAATACTGAAAGTAAAAGCATTTCCACACGCACAATGCGAAGGGAACTCAAGGGATTGGGACTGAACAGCTGTGTAGCCGTAAGAAAACCGCTAATCAGTGAGGCTAACCGGAAAAAAGGCTTCAATTTGCTGGGGAGCATAAAGATTGGACTGTGGAGCAATGGAAGAAGGTCATGTGGTTTGATGATTCCAGATTTACCCTGTTCCAGAGTGATGGGGGAATCAGGGTAAGAAGAGAGGCAGGTGAATAATTTTGCTCTGGGATTATTCAAGTATTTCTGACTCTGATTTTTCATTGATGGGACAGGTGTTGTGAATGAAACTGTGCCCATCTTGAAAGAGCTCCTGTGTGTCGCTGAATGTGTTCATCAGTAGTGTCAAAAGTACACACATTTGTTACACTCTGGTAAAAGTTTTAGTATCAACTTGACCTCTTTACTCAAGTAAAAGTGAAAAAGTATGTGCTCCAAAAACTACTACTACTATTAGTATAAAGTAACCTTTAATAAAACCAGCCAGGTGCCACTACATGAACTGAAAGCTCAATTTTTCGACTATTTTGAAAAAATTCTTTGAGATAGGGCCAAGGATGAGGGAGGTCTTGTTGGTCTCCGTCTCCTGATCTGATGCTCTCGCCTGTGTCCGACCTTTCAGACATTTCAACATCTTTCTCTGAATCCTACATTGTAGCATGGCATAGACAATTCACGTTTTGCAGTTTGAAGAACACCTGCTTGCTTCTGGTGATTTCCTTCAGCTAACCAATGAGTGTTTGCGTTATATGACTCATCCAATTACACTAGTTTTCACTAGATGTGGATGGAGCCAATGATCTGCATTGGGTGGCGAACATGACGTGAAATAAATATTTAGAAACATTAAACCGAAGCCAAGAGTAACAAGTAACGTTTGTTTTAAAAATGTAAGGAATAGAAAGAACAGATACTTGTGTGAAAACTTGTGCAGGACCTCCGTGGACCCCCTAGGGGTCGCTGACCCCCTGTTGAAGACCTCCATTTTTTTATATCAATGACTGTGAGTTTAGCCATGTCCTGCTAGAAGTTAGAATTCCGGGTCAGATTTTAATCTATTCCAGCCTTTAACAAGTTTTCCTTTACATCTGACCTGTATTTAGCTGCATTGTCTTTTATATAAACTCTGACCTGTTTTTCTGCTGTACAAAAGTATTCACAGCGCATAAACCTTTCAGTTCCGTGTTTGGTAGTGGGAATGGTGTGGGTTTGTGATTTAGATATAATTCAGTTAAAATATTTTCAACTCTGCTTGTAATTTGACAAAATCTGTGAAATTATTGTTGGAACTATTTACCAAGCTGTAAAATTGTCGTGTTTTTCATATTGATTCAGGGATCTTTGGGGGGACCCAGAGGAATTTCGTCCACAACGCTTCCAGGGTCCATCTGGACAGTTGAACAAGGAGCTGACAGAGAAAGTTTTTATCTTCGGCCTTGGGAAGAGGCGCTGTCTCGGGGATGGATTTGCCCGTTTGGAGATGTTTGTGTTTCTCACCATGCTGCTCCAATCTCTGCGGGTTGAAAATGTTCCTGGACAAGAGCTGGATCTCAGTACAGACTTTGGTCTGACCATGAAACCACGTCCGTACAAGATTACAGTCTCCCCCAGATTTTAGACCCTCTGAACACAACTCCTCAGAAAAGTTGGATCATTCATTACTGTTCACATACTACTAGAAAAGAACACCATCTGTATTAAACAACACTGGATGTTCAGGTCAAGCAGACTGATTTGGTGTTCTTTGAAAAGGTTCCAGACCTTATGTCCTACTAAATGTTAAAAATGTAGCTTCAAAACAGTCCCTCATTAACAGTCTACACATTGTTCACTTGTTATTTACAGTTAAACACTGAGAGGTGAAGCATTTTTCAGAGCAGTGATTGGTGCTTTCATTTTAGCCAAGATTCATCCCCCTTTCCTTTTTCCTTCCTCAGATTTAATCCTGTCATCTAAGTCGTGCTTCTATCTCGTCTTCCTTTAACATGGCTCCTGGTCATACGTTAAATACTTTATGCTCCCTTATAGTTGCACTCTGTGATTAAGCATTTTTGACTTGGATCTTTCTCTAATCCCCCCCTTTCTTTTTGTTTCCCACATTCTGAAATGCTAACAATCTCAGCCAACACCAGCAATGTAATGTGAAATGAGGCAGCTTATAAGATAAACCTCCTAAAATCTGTTGCCAGAGCTACAGACGAATGGGGCAGATATATCCTTAAAAGGAAAGTGTTGTGATCCAAACTCTTGATTTTTTTCCCCCTTTCCCTGCAGACTCCTCAGAGGAGAAAGCATTTCCTCAGCACATACCTCCGTCAGCCACTGGGTTGTTTCACGCGTAGTGATAATCATGAACCACATTTATATTCCCCTGCTTGTTTACACCATCTCAGCACTTTCTAGGTCAATGCTCTGATTCCCACCACACTAACTTACATAAACTAATTATTAATCAATGAATGTTTATTTGCCCATCACTTGTGCATTTTTATAATGATAGCATTTATTCTGGTTGGTACACTGAAAAAACTAACTGAAAATAAGTACAAATTTCTTAAATGAAGTATATTTACCCTCATTTTGAGTAGATAAAAATGTTTTGCCAATGGAATGAGATATTTTCTCTTAAGATAGCATAATTAGAAAATATGCGCTTGAAATAAGTCAATGCAGTTGTCTTTTGTTGTTGTTCCATTGGCAAAGTGTCTCACTAACCTCTTCAAGAAAATGCACTTATTTTAAGAAAGTATGACTAAGTTTGTTTTCAGTTTCTTGCAGTGTAGTTCACTTGTTTTTTTTTTCATTACTGTATGTATATATATATATATATATATATATATATATATATATATATATATATATTTTATTTTACTTTTAAGGGTTTACAGAACACCTGGCAGGTGATAGCTAGGTAGACAACACAAAACATGTTTTTCATTCCTTTGAAATAAAGAATATAAAGACTGATGACCATTTAAGTCACATTTAACTTAATGAAACAATAAAAGTAAAAGTAATCCAACAAAATAAAACTGTTTCCTGTTGCTGATTTTGCTAAAGTATTCAAACTCATTTTTCAAAAAGTTATCGCACAATAACTAGTAATTTTTTTGTGACGGAGACACACAAAATGGTGCACAATTGTGACATCAAATTATCACATTACATTACTATTATTTTTTTTCACAAATGAACCTCTTTAGTGTTACATGTCAAATTTACTCTAATATCTCTAAAAAAATGTTTACGTCCACCACAATTTGCCATTAAGAGCCAGTTTATTAGTACATAAAATCCACCTGTGTGTAACTTAATTTCTGGGTAAATTTAACCTCATGAAGTGCAGGAAATACAACAGAATGATCAGGGATTTAGTTTAATGTAGAATTAACAAAATCCTGCACTTTGTCCTGTTAAATACTGTAATATATTTGAACATCGCTATGGTGTACCACAGGAATGAGTGTTGGGTCCTAATCTCTTTTTTTCTTCTTTGTGCATACATGTTCATGAAACTCCTGAAGTCTCAGACAGACCTTTCTCAAATCTAATTAAAAATCTGTGGAAAAAGTCAAAAACTGATATTCAGAAATATTCTGCATTTGATCTGAATGAGCTTGAGCTGTTTTTAATGAATAATTTATACAGTAGTTCCTAGTATACAAATATGATGGATGTATCAAAGAACTTATAACTGAAGTAACAAAATGTTGAATACACAAAACAATAAATGAGTTAGGGTAAATGCATGTGCATATCACACTTTTGACAACCTTAAAAGCAATAATTAAACAATGCATGTAGTTTTGTCCACATGATAATGCTCTGTTATGTGTTGGTCTTTTAAATGAAACACAGAATACATCAGAGTTTATAGGCTGAAATGTAAATACAATCTGAAAAAAAGTTTAAGGGAAATTATTTGTTTTGCAAGCCACTGTAAATAAAGGGATTTTTTTTCCTCCTTCACAAAATGGCAAAGCAAACAAAAAAAAAAAAACTACCGGTAAGAGGATGTTACGCAGCTCTTATTTTAGTGATCTACCCCCTCCATGTTCTTTGTTGATCACTGTGGCTTTGTCCATCACTTTGCTCTAGCCGACTGACTAACAGTGCAATTTAAACTCATCAAGAATAACAAATCAACCCCAGCGTGTGCTGATTGGCCACTGATCCAAAGCAGCCAACAAAATGTAGCACGCAAGGTTAGAAATGATGCCTCTGTGCTGCCATACGAAATGGACCACTTGAAGGATGTATGTCACAAATTAGGAGAGCCTGACAATTAGGATTGGGCCAAGTTACAGTTTGAAAAACAATAAAAAAAAAAAAAGTCCAAACTCAGATCTAAAATTTTATCCTAACAGCAAATATTTTGAAAGCAGACAGCTTTTGAAATTGGACAAAAACAAACATCAATCTATAAAGAAATTAAAAACAAAATAAAATATGGAAATAACATGGCTTGTTTTTTTTTTCATTGGAGAAAAACGTTTAAGTCTTTCCACATATTCTTAGTTTAACATAAATATCCTTTCATCTAAGCCATTCCCTTTTAGCTTTACAGAATATTTAGTGTCATTGTTTGCATTTATCACCGTCAATCTTCCGATTTAGTCTGACCAGTTTTCCTCTTTCTGTTTAAGAAATGCCTCTACTCAGCATGATGTTGCCACCACTGTGTCCCAACATAAGCATTGTTGTCCAGGTTTGTTTGCAGTACATACATAGTATTGTACTGTATATATAGGCTTAAAAGGTTTTTATGTTGTTCTCATCTCACCTGGGTGCTTTTTTACACACGTTTGCTGTTTCTCAAACATAGCTTGTGGCAAACTGCAATCAGAATTTCCAGTCACTTTCTTGCCACTCTTCCATAGAGACAAGATTTGTAGAGCATTTCAGAGTAAAACAAGGGACTTTTTTTATTTGTATTTTTTTAGAAAATGTGAAAACAATTAATTTTATTATCAACATATAAGGTACATATAAAATCTGTATTAAAATGTATCTAAATCAATAATGTATTGAACATGTGAAGCAAACATAAAAGGTATAGCATTTTTTAAAATAAATAGATAAACACAAAAGTTAATTTTGCTGATTTTCTGGTGTGAGTGAGCTTCCTGTTACAGAGAGGATCTTTGCTGGTGGCTGGGCCGCCCCTGATGTTACACACCTGAAACACATCTCAATCAAGATGACAAGCGTGTACATAAGGAGGTGAATTATCATTCTTTGATGGATGATTACCCCTTATGGTATTCCAGCCCAAGACCTAAACCAGGAATATCCTTGTAGAAATTTTAATTTGGACTCTGATCTTGTTCCAGACAATTAGTGAAACTCATTTAATCTGCAAGCTTCATGGAAAAGGTCTTACCTGTTTGTTCTCAATCTTCATCACCTGCTTGCTCTCCAGCACAAAGTCTCTTGCAAGTACCAACCTGAGATTTCACAACCAGCTCCTTCCTGATCAGTCTGCTTTCTTGCCTGAGACCAATCAGAAAGTTCGACTAACTTCCTGCAGTTCTCCACTTCTAGATTCTTGTTACTTTTTGTGAATAAAATGTTAAAACTCACTGGTTCTCCATGTGATTCTGCATATCATTGCATATTATATCCATATTATTGTGTTTCATTCTGTTTCTATTCTCCCATTCTACAGTATTTGTTAAAGTCCTCCCCAACTTCATTTCTCTACTTTGTCTCATCTCACTAGCTTCATCTGGTCAATTCCTGTTTGGCAGTGGCACCATGCTGGAGAGAAATATCAGTTGGGCTTTTATCATCAATACTTTTTGTTAGATATGATATTTAGGCCTATTTTTCGGTGTGTAGTCCTTTTTCTCAACTAGACAACTATGGGTTCTGCTTCTACTGGGACTAACTGTATGTGGTTTAACTCTTTGGCTTGAATCCAGCTCAGAGCTTGTCTGCTTAACTGGTTCTTTCCTAGATAGACCCATCTATGGAGCTAGTTCATCGTGACCTTATCTAACATAGAAATATTTATGAATCAGTGCTTCAATGTTTTTGCATGTCTCCTTGCATGCTTGGAGTGATGGATTGCTCTACAGTCATTGAAAAAATGCAAGTAAATGTCTACTGTCACCAATTGCTCATCCAAGAAGAGAATGTCTTGTAAGTCATTGACTCTATGCCATCAGCTGGTTTTCCTTAGAAAACTTTGAGCCAGTATGATGGGATTGAATTGTCTCTGTAAAGTGTCTTGAGGTGACATGTTGTGAAGACATGCTATATAAATAAACAGAATTGATTTGTCATTAAAGAAAAAAAATAGTAAACCCATTCAGAGCTTTCAGTCTGCTGAAAAATCCAACAGAAAATCTGCTTTTTGCATTGAATTTTTAATTACACTGGATTGTGCTTTGAAGTACAAATTCGTTGCATGTGTTTTTAGACACATAGTGAATTAAAGGACATTTATTGATTTAGCTCCATTCATCAGTATCCATTTACAAATACTCTGCAATCCTCCAATAAAACAAATGTTATTTTCCAGCATTGTGATCTTTATCCAGTATTGAAAATGAATATAGATTTTAATGAAAGATTAAAACATGACACAAAACACAACATGCAGCTCCGCATCCCTCAGACATCCACCTCTTCCACTGTCTGTCCAGATTTCAGCTTCATGATCACCTTTCAGAAACAGAGATAAGCAAACAGCTTGAAGTCCATTCAACTGTTTAGTCTTACATGCTTTTTTTACTCACTTACAGGAGGGATTTATATGAATGCATTACATATTAAAAATGGACACACCTCCTTCAGCTGGGCGATCTCTTTACTGTCCACATTTCTCTGAGCGTTGTTAGTTATGGCCTTCACTCTGGTTGCATAACTGAAAGGTCCATCCGGTTCAAATGTCACTATTAGGATAGTTTCCAGCTCAGTACATAAATAATTGTCTTCTGTGTCTAATTCTTACATGAGGGAAGTGATAGTTTCCTCAAGGTTGTGTTCTGATGGGGAGATGTTGACAATCATGAGGGTTTTGGCGTTTCCACCCAAAGAGTCCTGCATAACCTGACAAATATGCAGAAGAGACAATATTATCCAGGAGCATTTTTAATTTTTATCAGGTTATAGTTTACTGCATATTTCTTATATCATTTGCAGTCTTGGAACAACACCTGTGTTAGCTTGCTGTTCCTGTACGGTACATGCGGCAGCTCTGCAGACAAAGCAGAGATCACATCACCCAAGGCACTCAGAGACTTGTTGATTGAGTTTGCCTCCTGCAAAAAGTGAAATAGCACATTGTTCAAATTTACATTTTTAGGCTGGAATTGTTTTGATATTTCATTTTAGATATAAAGTAACTTGCAAACCCCTGCAGACCCCCAAACGTACAATATTTTAATTTGATTATGCATAATCAAGAGGCATTCTTGATTAGTCTACTATTAATAACTGAAAAAGTTTCACATTGATATTCAATCTTCTTTGATTCGATACTTCAAAATAAAATTCTGTCAAACCAGTTATCTTCAGAAAGCCCATTATTGGTCAACTAACAAGTTACAGTTCAGTTGAATCTCTTGAAATTAATCAATGTTGCTGTTCTGTAAAGACAAGGCAAGCCTATTTATATAGCACATTTCAGATGCAAGATCATTCAAAGTGCTGTACACAAGAAAAAAATAAACTAAATGTACATTGTAGTGGCATATTCAAAACAAATAATTAAAGAGAATAAAAGTGAATCAATAAAATA